TTTTAGTCACATAATAATCACCATAGATTTTGTACTTTCGTTTATATTTTTGTTTAATAATCGCGATATCTCGCGACAGCGCCATTAAAGTGATATTTATTTGTTTTTTTTTGTGGGGTTTACGATATTTGTTTGTGGGGTTTTCGTTGTGAGAAGATATTTTGAGATTTAGCTATGATTCAATTATATTGGGAAATTATATTCGATTACATTTTACAACAGGGAATATGTCAGTTTTCAGCACTTGCAAAGAAATAATAAATTAACGGAATTGACGGCAATGGACGATGTGGATTTGGAAACGGTATGCATGCAGACGTTTGTTTTGGTTACTTATTTTAAGATAGTTTTGAAGCTATTTCAAGAAATTTTCAATGGGCATTTCGTGTTGATTTCTATTAATGTTTTTTATTTAATCGTAAGTAATTCATGATTGCACTAGAAACGAAATTATCATTATTATTATTGACAATATTGGTGTTATTATGATGGTTTTGATCGTTATTATTCTTATTTTGTGAAGGTAAATTATCCTTATTATCAGTGGCATTCTAGTTGTTACTATCATTATCGCTCTTGATTTTTGTATGTTTACAGGTGCTATTGTTAATTTATTATTATTACAGAATAAAGTGAATTATAAGAGTGATGATGATATAAAACAGAATGTATTGAGAATATGAGTAATGTGAATTTGATACATTTGGAATGTGGAATAAGATTGTTCGCAGGCGATTGGGTTAGGACACTTCAGGAATATCTATCTGGAGACTGGGACAAGTGGCGAATGTCGGGTAACGACGGGAATATATAAGGAATCGAAAGAGACGGTCGGATGCGCTTGATCTTCGTATTCAACATAGTCAGTTCGGGTTGTGTTGAATATGAAGGTCAAGGGAAGAGCGAAAGTGCCGGAGTTACGAGCCAGCGAATCGCATTGAATACGTTTCACAATATGCTTGGCACAAACGAAATGCAGCGATAATGTAACAGTAATGTGATGCATAAAAGTATATGGGTTTTCGTGAGGGATNATGCTTGGCACAAACGAAATGCAGCGATAATGTAACAGTAATGTGATGCATAAAAGTATATGGGTTTTCGTGAGGGATGATGATATTATGCAAACATAACAATAAAAACATCCAATTGGGATCGATCGGGAAAAAAGTTAAAGGATATGATACGGATTTCACAATAGATATTGCAAACAACTGCATTTGCAGTATTGCGATTAGCGATCCGCTATAGACATCGCCATCATCATATTTGAAAACACGTGGTTTATCGTGCATTAGTCAATCTTTGAGAAATGAGGTCATAAGATTGACCATTTTATCTAACAGGGGTAGGGGTCCGCATAAGGAGGAGATTACCCATTTTTGGGTAATTTTGGAATATCAGGGTAATGGAGGAGATCGGGAAATTAGTTCTGACGTTATGCGTGGAAATAACAAATTAGTGAATTATTTAGCGAGGAAGGGGGGGGGGGCAATGGCGGCCTGCCAAACCATCGAAGCGGGTAATGGAGCACCCGAATGTGGTCACCACTGTTACATAAGAACTATCATCAACAAACATATTCTTACGAATGATGATATTCAGCAATCAGTAATACGAGGATACAAATACGGTGATTTACACATTGAAAACTAATGCGCACCCAATAGTGAGAACACGGAATCCACTAATAGTATTTTCAAAGTTCAGGTAGCTGGCAACGTAGCCGATTCACTCTCACAAATATTTCTGCTCACACCACGACCTGAGGTCCGGAATCGTGCCTATGAGCTGCTAGGCGCAAGCAATGCTCGACAGTTCGCAAGTGCTGTGGAAAAACACATCAATAGATATCTGGAAATTGCAAGAGGCGAAATGAACGATAGAAGGTAATGTTATATAAGAGTGTGCAAAGAAGGTTTCATGAGAGATCATCTTATGAAAATTAATTTGATTCGATATGTACATATCTATATGATGGGTGGGTTAGTTTTAGGAGGCACTTTGGATTTTCACATTATTTTCCAGTATTACATAAGGTACACGGAGTCTTGCAGACATATCTGATCGAGTTTCATGTAATGCAAAAAAAATCATGATTCTATAAGTGGTTAACCGATGTGCATCTGATATTCAAAGCGAGTGTAAAAGTGTATCTGATTTTCGATTACAATAGAACAGAAAACACTCAACTTAATTTGAAAAGTTGTTGGAACACTTTAAGACCTTGTGAGTTAATGATAATCTAGAGAGGTAATCTATTCGATAAACTTTTGTTGTCACATAGATTAAGTGATAGCATTGAAGTATTTTTTATGTTTAACAATTGCTTGAAGCTTTCCTCATTTATGAAGAGCTGGTGGTAATTGAAAATTAAGACAGTAGGGTAGTGTTGTTGACCTAATATTACCTGCGCAATTAGAGATATTACAATGATGTCCAACGTTTCGGTGTTGTGCCATCTTCAGGAACACTTTTTGAATCATTCATCATTTTTTGAGATTATTCAAAAAGGTGTTCCTGAAGATGGCATGACGGCGAAACGTTGCACATCATCGTAATATTTCTAATTGCGTAGATTATGATTTTTCAACAGCACTACGTTACTATTGTTATGTATCGAGAAGTTTTCGTAAGGTACACAGAGTCTTGCAGATATATCTGATCGAATTTCATGTAATAAAAAAAGAATTATGACTCTATGAGTGGTTAACCGATGTGCATCTGATATTCAGAACAAGTATAAAAGTGTACCTGATTTTCGATTACAATAGAACAGAAAACATAAAGGGATGATTGCGGGTATGTCATGATTGAATGTTGTTGAATGCAACAGAGAAACAACTCTTTGACCAGCTTCAGGTCGATTCTGGAGATTCGGAAAGAACGTGATGCAGCAAAAGCATTGATGAACTCTTTCATTCACCAAACGGTACGTATTAGATCCGAAAACATTCCAAAGCCGCAGACATAGACGATACGTATTCAGTGCGATTTCTATTGGTTATTCGTTGGTTTGCAACGAATTTTCAGTTATTATCCGTTAGGGTGATTTATTTTTTGAGTGGTATTTTTCTTCATAAGATACGAGTTCAGGTTTGTGGCGATCAAGTAGTACCTGATTCATCATGTTCACGTTTAAATTCCGTCACGCAAAGCACTGATTTAATACCAATGACATCCACTAATTCTTCACAACAATTGTTTTTGAACAATCCGTGTGTCTCACAGCGGAAATCGGACTCAGAAATGGATTTCACAGATAACGGAGATGATGGCAAGGGGGAATTTAGTGATTCAGTATCAAAAGTAAATTTTATATCCATGATTGTTCGGCTTGATAGAATAGTTTTAG